TTTAAAAAAAAAAAAAAAAAAAAAAGAAAAAAGGACAAAAAAAAAAAAAACCAAGCCCTGCTGTCTGTCTGTACCCAAGCCCTTCCACCAGGAAAGCTAGTCTAGGTGTGAGGTCTCACGCTGTCTTTGTAGCCATCTAAAAATAATGATAATAATAATAAACTGGGCAGTTTACAATCGGTGGTTTCTTTCAAAAGGCCTTTTTTGGAAAGAGAAAAGAAAGTCACCTTTCTCCGCTTGGGGCTTTTGGTTCGTGCGGATGGGCAAGGGAGGGTAAGGAACCTGTTTTGGTTTTGCTTGATTTCTCCCGGCCGAGGTGGCGCCGGCAGCTGCACACGTGGGACCCCAGAACCGTCCCCCCTCCCCCACTATGTGGCCTGAGGGGCCCGACCACCCGACCGCTTTCAGGACTCCGCCGAGGCGGAGACGCGCTGTGACCCGGTGGCATGCACTGTGTTCCCAGGACTGCTTCCTCCTCTCTCTCTTCTGGACCTTCCCCCACCCGGCCTCCCTGATGCTCCAGCCCCGTCCTCAGCCCCCACCCCAGTCTTCCCAGCGAGAATCCTGCCAGCTGGGTGGTGGCCTGGACGGAGCGCAGTGGGGGAGGCCGCCCCCGACCAGGATGGCTATGACCTGGGACATGGCAACTGTGACCCCCGCGTTCTCGTCCCGTGGCCCTGGCTCGCATCGTCCTCGTCGTGTGTGTGGGCACCATAGGGCTGGAGTTTGGCTTTTCTTTTGTTTTTTGTTTTTTGGGTTTTTTTCTCTTGATTCTTGCTTCTTTTTCAAAGATGGGAAATTGACCAGAATTGCTCTGTATACGCTTGGAACTGGATGGAAAGACTTCGGAATAGCTGTGGGGGGCGGGGGACACCAGTCAAACAGACGTGCTGTTTCGGTCCTGTTTTTATTTTCAAAAACCGACAAATGCGACAGTGGAGCCTGTCCCCTCCCAGGAGGGGGTGACTCACGGCCTCCCTCACCTCACCGCTCCCATCGAAACCTCTGTGTCTTGCCCTGAAGACACCTGAATTCTTTGTACATTTACAGCCCCTCCTCCCCGCACCCCTGTAGCTGCTGTCTGTTCTCCTCCCTCCCTCCCTGATCCATGTATATCATACTATGTGAGATACCATCTGCCTGAAAAAAGACCTTGTGCGGATTATTGGGAACATTGTAGCTGTTTCTGTGTTTTTTCTTACCTTGTAGTCTGGTTCTGAATTAAGAGAGGAAAAAAAAAAAGTAATTATGATACATTGTAGTTTGTGTACGATATATGTTGATAACGTTTTATTAAAGGGACATCTTTTTTCCGCAGCCCTTCCTGACATGTTTCGGGGGGGTGGGGGACGTGGGTCGGAGTTTATTATACTGACTACAGAATGCAAGGTGACTGGTCGGGCTGTTTTTGTTGCTGGTGCATAACAAGATCTTGTTTTGTGTTCAAGGTGTCCACCCTCTTTTCCTGGGCATGTTAATCTGTATTTTGCATTTGCTCTGTGGGGTCGTAGTGGCCTTTGGGGAGGGGGGGTTGGGAAGCAAGGCCGCAGTCTCACGTCAGACATCTGGGGGCGTTCTAAAATGCACCTTCAGCTTTTTGTCTTGCCGACACACGCCGGTTTGCCTGAAGGTATTTCTCAGCGAGTAGAAGAGGTTCATGGTTCTGTGTTCTGCGGGGAGTCCACACAGGCCAGGGGGGCCCCAGGAGCTGTAGCCACACAGCCTTTCCCACTCGGGTGGCCTCCGCCCTAGGCCAAGGTGGGCAGACGTGGGGAGACCCAGTCCCAGCCTCCGTCCACAGAGTAGAGCCAGGGCCACGTAAGCCATGGGGTGTGCGGGTGTGGACATTTGAAGTAGGATTTTCTGCTTCCCTCGAGCTCCGGGGAACTTGCTCCAGGCCCGCAGGAGGGGAGGGGAACCGTGTCGGAGCCAAATGTGGGCTCAGTAGACCTTCACGAGGTCTGACCCTTCCAGACGCAAACTGCCAGTTTCCGATCTGTTTTTTTTTTTTTTTTTAAAGATTTTATTTATTTGACAGAGAGATAGAAGAGCACAAGCAGAGGGAGTGGCAGAGGGAGAGGGAGAGGGAGAAGCAGGCTCTGCACTGAGCAGGGAACCCGATGTGGGGCTCGATCCCAGGACCCCGAGATCATGACCTGAGCCGAAGGCAGCCGCTTAACCATCTGAGCCACCCAGGTGCCCTCCTATCTGTTTTTGCCGCTACTTCCCTGTGGCCGTGGGCGAGTGCGTTCCTACCCGTGTCCTGTCTCGTCGTCTACAAACCTTCCTCACAGGGTGGTCGTGAGGACGGGCTGGCGCTCGCGAGGGGCTTGCACCCCTAGGGGCCGCCAAGTTAGCAGCCGGTGCCCCTGTACTCCTGCTTGGGACGGGGAGTCCGAACGGGGTGCCGGGAGCAGCTGGGAGGGCCTAGCAGCTCGCATCTCGCCCTCCCCTCCTCTTGAGCAAGCTTTCTGGGCTCTTCCTCCGCACGTACGCCTCTGACGGCGCAGACCTCACGGCTGGGGCAGACGCACCCGGACTGGGACTGAGCCGCACTCGGCTCTGAAGGCTTTTGTTCGGGAGCCCGGAGCCTCTGCCAGCGGGCCCCAGGCCACCAGCGCTCTCCAGGCAGGCGGGAGCCATGGTGCGGGGTGCTGAGCTGGGAGGGGATCCTGCCTCGAGCCTCACCGTCTCCCCCACCCCTGCTTGCGGGGTGTTCCTCAGAGCTGGGGACATCTGTGCGTTCCCTGTCCCCAGAATCACCCAGTGGGCGCTCATTCATGGAGGAACTGGATGTTTGTTGGGTAGTCACCCCTGCATACTGTCACCTGTGGGCAGCAGCTCAGGCAGGGGAAAGGTGGCCTTCACGGCTTCCGTGGATCCAGAGCAGAGCATTCTGTCCGCGTCCGCTGGCAAACTGGGAGCTCCTGGAGGAGACCGGGGCTCGTTCTGTAGCTCCGGCTCCCAGCACGAGGCCGGGCACACAGCAGGTGCTTTTAAACTGGGCCTAATTGCTGGACTGCCCCTAGAGGAGGTCTGTAGTGGGGAACCTCAGGGCTCAGTCCCCAGGCCTGACCTAGTGTTAGGTGCCATCGTGGTCCGGCTGGGGATGAGGAGATCCGTGATGTGTGTGTCGGGGTGGGGGGCGGTGACAGCTAGAAGGGGCTGTGCTGCTGTGGAGAGGCTGGACTCGTCACCCGGGGCAGCAAGCCTACCCTGGATGCAGGTGGGGAGGCTGAGGTTGCGGGCACTTGGGGTTTGGGGGAAGTGGAGACCTCTCTGTGGAAAAGGCAGCTGTCATCACGTGTGAGACTTCCAGCTCTTCACACTACATACACCACCCGGTCTCTGAGCCTGTTCCCCCTCCCGTAGTGGGGGGGGTAAAACCCGGCAGCGCTGTCTGCCTCACCTTGCAGCTCAGCTGCGTGGGACCAGAGCTCAGCTCTGAGATCCCCAGGGGATACACCAAGGTGAGCCCACTAGGGCTCTTGTCACTCAAGGTGGACTGCCGCCCAGGCCCACCCTGCAGCACCGGCGCCTCCCAGCCTCCCTCCCACAGGCCTGGCCCTCTGCCTGCCCCCCTCCCGCTTCCACTGGTCTCCAGGGGGTTCAGCCAGCCCCGCCTGGCTCCAAGCCACCGCCACCATCCCACCAAGCCTAAAAGGTAAGCTGCAAAGCGGATGGAGGACAAGCGCGGGAGCCACACAGGGAGGAGCTCCACTTTGCCACTTACAAGCTCTCGTGGCCATGATGTGCTCCCAGATGTCTCCTCGGACGCCCTCCAGCAGGGCAGGCCTAACTGCTTCCGTGGCTGCCTGCTCTCAGCCAAGTCCCTCTGAGAGTCGCCCTCCACCCGCCTCACCTTAGGCGTCTCCCGCTCTGACGAACAGTGTGGATCAGTGACTGGCGGCAGGCCAGTGGTGTCCGCAGAAAGGCTCAGCTCCTCCCCTCTGGGCGGGACAGCTCTGCTTCAGAGCACCCACAGAACTGGGAGCTGGCCGAGACCTCAGATGCAAACCCACCGAGCTCAGGCTCTCTGCCCAGCACTGCCCCATCACTCCCCACAGGCGCTGGTCCTCCAGGTCCTCCCCCAACTCCCCAAGTGTTCTCCTAGGAAGCTGACCTGTACCACCCGCCATGTGACCTAGGGGACCTTATACTATCTGAGTTCCCTTATCTCAAGGGCCCAGAACCGTGCCCGGCACATGGGCATTCAACCACTTCCCTGAATATGGAAACGACACGTGAGGATTAAACAGGATGCTACGTCTAAGGTGCTGGGCCCTGAGCAGAACTTGGGTGTGATGTGAACAAAGAGAGGCCAGCCGAACCAGGGATGTACTTGGTCTACTAACCCGGATGCTAGGGAGAAATCTACGATTAATGTTCTATTCAGATTTCCTGCAGTCATTATGAAATGTGCCCACAATTTAGAGAGTCCCGTGAGAACCCAGGGAGCATCAGAGAGCACCTATCCTATGGCAGATGCTCCATACGCATCTACAGTCTTCAAGGGAGGTCATGTTATTCTCAAGTTTCAGGTGAAGAAGGTAAAACTCAAAGAGACGAAGATTCTTATCTAAAGTCCAAGTGGGCTGTGGGCAGAGCCGGGCTTAAGGTGGGGCAGGTCAGGCTCCCGAGCTTGCACCCGCGGAGGCCGGCTCACGGCACGGCCCACGTACAGCTATGGGCGCCCCTCCTGACGGCCCCCCACACCAGGCCCAGGCTCCAGTGTACCGGGAGGCTCTTTATTGGCAGCCAGACAGCAGGCCAGATGAACACGGAGGCTCCAGGCAGGCCCAGCACTGCTCTGGATACAGGATCTTCTGCAGGAGGGGGACAAGGAGGCTTCAGACCTCAGAATGGTCCTTGGCTCACACAGCACCATGTAAATACAGAGCTAAAAACTTCCTGAATGTCTCTGGCTGGAAACCAGTCGGCCCAACAGGTTCCTGGAAAGAACACAGCCCATTAGGATCCTGCTACTAGGTTTAATGGCAGCACTGAAAACAAAGGTTGGTTTTATGCAAAACCTAAATGGCTGGATAGTCACTGTCTCCTTCTCTCATGGACCAAGGAGGGGCATCAGGGAGCTGGCAGTGAAGAGGTGCCCGAGGGGCTGGGCTGGGGGGCCATGAAGCTCTCCTAGTGCTTTTGGCCAGACCGTCTGTTGGCACCGCCCTCATCCCCTATCCCTCTCACCTCAACCACCAAGAACCAATGCTCTGTTGCCCCCTTTTCATTCCCAGGGACAATAATCCCTCACTCGTCCACACACATGGATCAGGTCCCTTCTCTCCATACGGGGCCTGTGCCCCATGCTAGAAACCCGACGACAGTGGCTTGAATCTGGCTCCGCCCTCAAGGAGCTTACAGCCAGATGTTCCAACAGTGATGATAAAAGCTGATAGGCCTCACAGTAGACGCAGGGAAAAGATGCTCAGAAAGCAGGGAAGAAGAGGACTCATGGTCTCCCATACGTATGAATGAGTCTTACAGGGCAAGCAGAAGGGGCCAGAGAGGAAAAGAAAAGGCAGGCGTCCTCCGAGAGACGAGTCTACGCGCCAGTGCAGAGGCAGGAAGCAGAAGGGCGAGGTTGGAGCCCAGGGCCTGTGCTGGGGGCAGGAACCATCTGACCAACCAGGATGTGTCTGCCACTAAGTCAGTGTTCTGGAAGGAAGGACCCAGAGACACGTCGGGGAGAAGGAGAGCAGGATAAGAGCGGAGAGCGCAGAGGAAGTTGGTGTGGCTGCAGGTGACACACAATGGGGTCAGGGGCCAAAGAGAAGAGCCCCAACCGGGGAGGCATTTCCAGGGCAGAAACAGCACCGCCTGGAGAGCTAACCAGGCAGCCGACGCACCGATTCTGTTCAAAGGCCCAGCACCAGCTCCGTGCAGCACATCTGCTCAGGCCCGTGTGGGCCCCAGGACACAGCTAGCCGTAGAGCCGGCTGCACCCCCATTCTGTTCTCTCGCAGCCCCCGACGCTGCCTTGTCCCTTCGGAGCACGTTTCGCTGCCTGACCTCGCGTGATGAATACAGAATGGTCACTGCCTGCTGCACGGGAAGCAGGCCGGGCCTCTAGCTAGTGGAGCACGGGGGTGCGACGGTGACAAGGCCCCGGGAAGAATCCCCTGTCCGAGGGAAGAAACAAACGGAGGCCTCCGAGGAGCTTGGAGCTCGGTTTGATGGAGGAGAAAAACCTGGAAACAGCAGCGGGCCTGTGCCGTGATGGGGGAACACAGGGGCCATGGGGCCCCACCCAGGGCACTGCAGTGGGGCTAGCAGCGGGACGGGGGTCCTTAGAGAATGGCCAGACTCGAGAGAAACGGAGGGCGGGGGGACAAGCGAGACGCCTCATATACAAAAGCAGCCGCACCTACGGAGGCCCGGGCTACTGGCAGCCAGGCACGAGGGGGCGCTGTGAGGAGCTGCCCCGGGGGGCAGGAGGGGCGCAGGGGGGCGCAGAGGGGCACGGAGGGCCGGGCAGGGCCCAGGGCAGAAGGAGCCCTCCAGGTAGAGATCCTGGGCAGGAAGTCCCTAAAGCCCGGGTCCCACCTGAGAGCATCCCTTCCACTCCACCCCCGGCTCCCTCTGGGGACACGGAGTCATGGCCCTGGTCCAATCACCAGGCTGGAGATGGCAGGACTCACCACAACCACCTTCTTTTTGATCACCGGGCGACACCAGAAATGCTGATAGAGGAGCTGGTCTGAGTCCACCCAGACCAGGTTCTTGACGCCCTCGTGAGCGGCCAGCTCTGTGGTGTTCAGCTGCAGCACCAGGAACTGGAAGACGCGTCCGTCGGTGCCCACACTCTGCACAACTACCGGCCGCTCCAAAACCTTAGCGTCCTTCTGAGAGGCAAAGCGGACAAGTAGAAACGGTGGGGTATAAACAACAGCACAGAACAGGCAGGTTCGAGCTCCGGCCTCTGCAACTAACACCTGCTCCCATGTAAGGCCCTCACCGCAGAGCGCTGGGGCCGGTTCAGGGCGCCGACCAGAGCGAGGCCGTCCCTCCCTCCCCCAGCCCGGCCCTGTCTGACCTGGCGCCTCCTGGTTAATAAGCGCCTTAAAGTAGCAATGCCTGCCGCCGGGGGTGACGGCTGGGCCAGTGGCAGAGCACAGGAAGGTGACGGGAGATCCCTAAACTCACGGCGCTACCTGATGGCGACAACAGTGACATCAGTTCCATCAGGGGTTAACCCGGAGGCTCAGTGAACATAGCAGCGCACTCCCTGGCGCCCCGGACCGCCCGGCCCTGCAGGCCATCGCCGGCGCTGCGCCTCAGGCTCCCGGCGTGGCCCAGAGAAGGCATCCGATTGCCGGCGTGTCCACCCCCCGCGTCAGCAGCGGGCTTTCAGCCAGCGGCGCACGAGCGGGTTCTCCCGCTCCGGGAGCGCCACTTGGTACCAATCACAGCAGCAAGCTCCTGCACGCCTCTCACGTGCCAGGCCTGGCGCCGGCTTTAGTCACCGGTAATCGCGCGGATCCAGCCGTCTAGTCCCACTTCACCAATGGGGAAACTGAGCTCCAGAGAGGTGCTATCATTGTGCAAGGCTGCCCACGAGACGTGAGCCAGGATCAGATCCCACACTAGGAAATCACTGAAACCCCTCTCCTCGTGGCTGACACCTGGTGTCCCGCACGATGGAACAGTGGTGCCTCCTTTTACCCCCAGGGGCGTCCCAGGGTGGATGAGAAACGACATGCTCACCCCCCTGAGGCTCCGCAACAGTCCTGTCGGGTGATGGCCACCCGCCGGACGAAGATCCAGCAGGCAGGCCCCATGGAGCAGAGCATCCTTGATCCAAAAATGCTGCCTACGTTCACCACTCCAGAGCGGAGTGTGACATCAGGAATAGCTAATGTCAGACCTCGGTGTGGGCCACACCGGGACTGCTGGCCTTAGAAATACCTGTTCTTAGCTGCATGAGAAATAAATAAAAAGAAAAGTACCTCTAAGTGTTAGCTGAGGATGCTGTATTGACTCTTATCTCCCTCTACAGATCAATAAAACTGCAGGTAGTACATAAATTTCTCAGCAATTTTACCTTTTACATGGAGGCTCTTCCCATAATTGCTCAACTTCACATCCCCAGGAATAATCTGTACCTGGAGGGGCTGGGAGAGGTCTCCCCTCCTACCCAACTAGGTGGCAATTAGCGGCAGTGTGGCTCCCCGTGCTCTGTTGGCAACAGTTGGCACAGAAGCTATGAGGAACCTGCAGACCTGGTCCCTGGCATGCGACCATGTCTGCTCCCTTTCCCTGCCCCAGAGTTGAGAGGCAGCACGTCTTTTGAGACTAGAGGGATCAGGGCTCCAACGCTTGCTTCCCCACTCAACAGCTGTGGGATCTTGGGCAAGTCACCTAACCTTCCAGAGCCTTCATGAGTATGTAGTCAAAGAATGGGAACGAAGATAACCTTCGAGGACTGGAAAGATGCAAGGTCACATAAAGATGTAACAGCTGCCAATCTCTTAGCTGTGTGACATTGGGAAAGGTACTTGGCCTCCCTGAGCCTCAGTTTCTTCAGCTGTAAAACGAGGCTAGGAGCATCTGCCACGGAGGGTTGCTACAAGGACTGAACAACGCAGTGGTTCTCCAACCTTAGTGCTGTGGTTCTCAACCCCACGCTAACGCCAGCACCACCTGCAGGGCTTCCAACAACGCTGGCTACTTGGGCGCCACCCCCAGTTTCTGATGCACTAGAATTTATATTTCCAACAAGTTCCCAGATGATGCTCATGCAGCTAATCCAGGACCGTACTTTGGGAAACACTGACATAAAGAACCCTAATTAACTGTCTGGCAGGTAGCAAATGCTCAATATAGGCAAGGTCCATTCCACTCCCTACCTCCTTTGCCCAACCACACCTCTTCAACCCCACCTAGTTCCTAGACCGAGTAGGATGGGAAATAGGGGAAATAGAATTGTGGACACTCCTCCTGGAGGGCCTCAGACCTGGGAGCTGGCAGCTCTCAGCACTACACACACGCATGTGCGCACACACACACACACGCCCCGGGATCCAGTGTCCCAGGCCTGCTCGGGGAATCCCATACTGCCATTCCCTACTCCCTCCCTGGAGGCCTTTGCTCCCAGGCAAGCTTTCCCCCATTTCGGGGACAGGCTGAGTAGCCTGCATTCTACACCATCCAGGCCCTTGAGACCTCGTCTCAGAATCAAGGGGCTATCACCAGGTGGCACCTTGGTCCCCGAGCCTGTCCTCACTTGGCAGACAGGCCTGCATCGTCTCTGCCACCTAACCTCCACCTGCCCATGGAGACTCGTGCCCCGGGTCTGCTCTCACGGAACGGAGGGGTGTACTAGAGCACAAATAACTGAAGCCTTAGGAGCTGGGCATGCCTCGTTCTCACCTTTCCTCCACCACTCGCTGCCGTGTACTGCTGGACAAACTGCTTAGCCTCCCTGAGTTCAGGGCCCTAACTGGAAAATGGGGATGATAAAGAAAGCTCGTGGGCTATTTTGATGAACAAATGAGGTGTCTTATGTAAAAGACAGGAGGCAGGCACACAGGAGGCCCCAGCAGATGTCGGTTTATCTCCGTAGGGTGAGTGGAAGTGCCTGTCCGTAGAACTCCTCAGTCAAGCAAGGAATCCCCCCTGTACCCCCCTTCTTTCTTTGAGCAGTGTAAGGCAGGAGGCCAACACCATGTAAAGTCGCTGAGTGGTCTTCCTCCCCATACATACCCCATAGAGGCGCCGGGCCTGAGCCAGGGCATTGCCAAAGGCAAACAGGATCATTTTGGCCCGCAGCTGATCTGGTTGAAAGCGGTGTGGTCGTAAATTGGCTGACTCCAGGAAATACAGGGTGTGGGGATAGGGGTAAGGATAACCCTCCTGGAATCCTGCAAGATACATAATCACATGGAGGAACAGAAAGGATTACCAGCCTGTCCCAAAGCCTTTGGAAAGTCACGTCACCTTGGCTCAGTGCAAGGACCACCGAGACTCCGTAAAGGCAGATGTTATCACTGTGGCTCAGGAGGAAGGCAAACCAGTCTGCCAGCCACATCGCCCCCCCACCCCCCGCCTGCTTTGGAAAATAAAGTTTTTACCAGCGCATAGCCATGCCCACTCACTGACACAATGTCTACAGAGTAGCTGTCAGAGACCATATGTGGCCTGCAAATACGTTCTATTTGGCTCTTTACTGAAAATGTTGCCACCCTGTGCCAGGTGACTCCTGGGTGCTGGCTCTAATCTACCCCTTCTCGCTCATTCAAGCACACAGGTGACAGTGACGTTAGAAGGAAACCTGAACACTAGGGTAATTATTTTTTTAAAAGCCAATCATTTGCAAAATTCCATACTTTATTATTAGCAATAAACGACTTGCCTCATGCCTCACAAGTGATCTGCAAATACTGGCACTGAGGATCAAAGCTGAGCCCTTGTTCATCCCAGCCACCACCCTGCCAGGCCACCATTCTCAGCCCCTCCATGGCTAGCAGTAAACCCTTGGTAGGCTGGCAGCTTCCAGAATGAAGAACCTGGATTAGTGAAAGTGGGTGACAAGGAGGAAGAAGCTGGGAAAACATGGGCTCTGAAAATCCCCGAAGCAAGCACTACTTGAGAGAGACGCCCTTCTGTGGGTCTCTGTCCTTGCTTCAGAGGTTCAGCACGCCCTGTGCGCCCAGCCTAAGACAGGCGCTGGGGCCAGACCGGGGCCAGGAGCAGAGGCCAAGGGCGGCCTGCCACTGCCTTGGAGGGGCTCAGTCTGGAGGGGTCCACACAGAGGGACATGTGAAGATCCGGGCGGGGTGAGTTGGGGGCTGGGGAAGCCCCAGATGAAAGGCCCCTGATGACAAGGGAAGAACCCAGAGCATTTCTGGGGAAGAAGTGATTCTGAAGATGCACTGTGACAGATGAACTACACGTGGGGGCAGGGGGGACAAAAAGAGGTGGGCGGCCACAAACCCCAGGCAGAGGGGGGAGGGGACGTACCAAAGCCTATGGTGAGAAAGGGCACGGTGTGTTATGTGTAGCTGGACTGCGGGGGGGAGGGGCGCGCCTGCAGGGGAGGAGACCAAGGTGAGGCTGGAGAAAGGGGCCAAGACCGGACCTGAAGGCCCTCATGTGATAGGCTGAGGACTTCCACCTGTACCTGATAGGCGCTGGGGAAGTAGGCACAGAGAAAAGGGACGGAATTTGTGTTTCAGAAGGGTGCCTCTAGAACCGGGAACCAGATGGACCGAGAGAAAACAGACCAGGTCAGGCTGGCCAGCTAGCTGAGGGGTTGTGGCAACAGGCTGGGCCTGCCGGAAGCTGTTGCTTTGGAGATGAGGAGGTTAGAAGGAAGGCGCTACAACTCCTAGGGATGGGCTAGAGGACGTGAGCCGTGGGCCCACCTGGCCTGATGCTCTGGTTTCTGTCATGGCAGCCAAGGGAGATAGTGGTGCCTTATTCGATGGAGTTGAGATGAATAGCCCCATTCAAGGCCTGTGGGGCTTCCTCAGTCCCAGCAGGCGGTTGGCCAGGGTTTACGGGTACATAGAAAGAGGGGTGTCTTTCAAGGGACCTGTGAATAAAGGAAACACTTGGGGCCTGGCCAGAAGCCCCCTCAGCCACCCGTTACAACTCTGAGATAACAGGGTTACCTCTCAGGGGTCAAAAGCAAAGTGGGGATAGGCTGCTACATGGCTCTTAGGAGAAAATGCGCATCCCTCATCTCCACGCTGCCGGGAGATGCACGGCTATGACACTTACCTGTGTTGTCTTCCACATCATAAACATTGCATTCCTGAAGATCAACAGTGGGAGATATGGGATAGAAGGTCTCAAGAACATGATTCTTAGTAGCTTCAACCTCCTCTTTGGAGGCGACGGCGGGCAGCGGATTCTTGGTGTTCAGTCGGGCTCCACTGGAACCACGGACCTGAAGGAGAAAAGACTCTAAAAGGGGAGAAAGACGATTAGTCTACCCTGGTCTAAAGCCTTACCTCTGCTCAGCCAAGCCTACAGCCTTCATCCTGCCATGCTCCTCAAGTCTTACGGCTTTCCTAGCTGACCAGCATGATTGCAGAAAACAAAACTTTGGTCAAGATGTTGAGAAGGGGACCAACCAAAGCACTCTTCTTCCTGTGTTCCCTTGCCAATGGGCCCTGAGGCCACCTGGCAGTCTCTGTGGGTTCAGGGCTGCCCCACACAGATCTTCCCAAGCACCTGCTCTATGCTGGGGACCCAGAAATGAGTGAGCATTACCCTCTGCTCCCAAGAAGCTTCCTAGGTAGTAAGTGCATACGAAGGCATGAACTGTACTCAGAGACAGTAGAGGTGGGGCAAACTGACCTCCTTTGGGAGGCCTGGGAAGCTTCCTGAAAGTGGTGTGCCTTCCAAACTAGTTTCCGGAGGATGGATAAGAGCAGAGTTTCTCAACTTTGGCACTTTTTTCATTTTGGACTGGGTAATTCTTCGATGAGGGAAACTGTCCTGTGCACTGCAGATGTCTGGCCGCATTCCTGGCCCCTACCCACCAGATGCCAGTAGAACTTCCCCCGTTCAAGTCATGACAATCAAAAACGTCTCCAGACCTTGTCAAATCTCCCTTAGGGGGCAAAACTGCCCTTGGTTGGTTGAGTTTGCCCAGGCAAGAAAAGGGAAGGAAAAACATTTTAGTTCAGGAGGAGGAACATGTGTGAAGGCACAGAAGTGTGCTCCCCCACGGCAGAGTTTAGGGAGACGAACCCAGGTGACTAGAAGCAGAATGTTGTAGGGAAGGCGGGAGGGAGGGAAGGAGGAGGAGACTAGAGGCTAAGAAGAAAGGTTATTAAACTCAGGAAAGGGGCCAAGTTGTCCTCAACAACTGACAGTGAAAAAAAACGAGGCCAGTCAGAAAGCCTCACCTAAGACAGATCCGCGTACTTGCTACACAGACGTAAGTTGATGAGGCAAGACACTCACACCTGACACATCAGCAAAGCTGCCACTGGGAGCATGTGCGCATGCCCCTCACAGAGGCCCCCACAGGAGGCTGCATGCCACCAGGCAAAATGTGCCTGAAAGGCTCCCTTGTGAATGGCCTCCTGAAGATTCTCCATGGAGGCAAATCTTCCTCTGAAGGTGCTTTGGGTGTTTAGAAACTGTCAAATCACAATGGGATGGTTAACGGGTCAAGGGTGATGATCCTTCTACGTCTAAAAGCTGGTTTGGTCCACAGCGCTGTCATATAATTAGCATGTGGTCTCCCTCACTGGGTGTGTAAAGCAGGGATACTATATCTGTGGATAGATAAACTCTGAGCCGCTTGTTAAAATACATCATACCCACACCTCAAGAACAGTTTTCCTGTTTCCTCACATATAATCTGCAAGGAAGATAAATGTGCCTGGACCTCTCCTAACCTTGGGTTTTAGATTCTCCCCACAGACCACTCTAGTGTGGTTTCCAATTCAATTCCCTCCATATCCCTCCTCCAGTGACAGCTCCAAATGGGGCAGTTTAATTAGAGGTAATAGCTGATGATGGGCCAACAAGTACTCCTCTATTAATGAGGTTCACTAATTTCCTTAGTGGTGCCATTACCTCTGCATGGCTGACTCCTTGCCAGGAAGTCCATACTCAAAAGGGGCAAGCTAGACAAATGTGACCAAGCAGATGTCCTGAAAATCCCAAATCATTCCACAGCCGGTTTCCCCGCTCCGGGATTCCACCAGTCAGAACACTGGTGTGCTCTGAACATCCCTGACGGAAACCCCTCAGGGTGGTAATCACCCACCCGTCCCTCAGTCAGCACTGCTCACGTGCCAGGAACTGTTAGACGCTGTGCAGAAAAACGAGTGAGATGTGGTCCCTCCTGTCAGGGGTTCAGTTTAGTAGGTAGACAGAGAAGATATTAGAGAATTCCAATACAGTACAACATGCGCTCTGATCAAAATAGGAACGATGGGCAGAAGGAGCACTAGCTAATGTCTACATTCACATAGGAAGGGGGCTGGAGCTGAGCCTCACAGACAAGTAGAATTTAGCCAAACGAGGAAAGTAGAAAAAAGCATTCCAGACAGAACATACAGCACAGCGCTAAAGGCATAAAAGCTTGATGCCAAAGAGCTGCTAGTGGCTAAAGTGTAAATTTAGCCTGGGGGTGTGGTGGGGGTGGGGGTAGGAAGGAGAGAAGACCAGAAAGGCCAGCTGGTGGCCAAACCAGTGGGTTGGATCCAATGATAAATGGTTTAAGTTCCTGGGAGGCAGTGAAGGATCTGAAACAGGGGAGGCAAGTGCACTTTAGAAAGATCACTCTAGCAGCTACGTGGAAAATGGATTTGGAAAAGGAGAAAAGCATGAATGGGATAAGAAGGCTCTTACAGTAGAGTAAGAGCTTTGTGAATGCAGAGACTGCCTGCCCTTTATTACTTATCTTCAACATTTAGGCACTCAAGGGTACTCAACAGATACAGTTGAATTAAGTCATGGGAAGAAGTGATTAAAAACAAAAAAAACTGAGGAGCATCTGGGGCTCAGTTGGTTAAGCGTCCTATTCTTGATTTCAGCTCAGGTCATGATGTCAGGGTTGTGGGATTAAGCCCCATATCAGGCTCCACACTAGGCATGGAGCCTGCTTAAGTTTCTCTCTCCCTCTGCCTCTCCCACCACCCCCTTAAAAAAAAAAAAGACTAGTCTGTGGCTAATGATAGGAGGATGTGTCTGATTCTACAAAAGTGGTCCACGAAGGAAGGAAACAAGCACAGGTATGGATGTGGTGATGGTGAGCTGGTAGTGGGGTTAAGAGTAGAAAGATAAAAAACAGACCAAGATGACCAACCTCGATTCCAGGTGGTGGATAACGTGTAGTTTTTGGCGCAGATCCGTCTGGCCAGAGAGGGATGCTTGAGAATCTGGGATCTACACAGCTGTATCAGACTGTCCACAATGACTGGGCTTGGAGGAAAGAAGAGACATTTGGAAACATAAGGCAAAAGGCTGACTCTAAGATCCACTGACTAGAAATCTTATTGACGTGGGGGAAACTTACCAGTAGGCCTCTCTCTTCGGGGTGTCTTCAGTAGAGTGCCAGAGACGGGCGTGAGAGATCACGTTCAGAAGGCGTTCATCTTGGTTCTCTATGTAGTTCTCCGGATCAGCGGCGAGGCTAAGCACTTTCTCGGGAAGGCCTTCTATTAACTTGGCTTTGGTAAGCCAGAGGGCCTGCTTTACACCTTTGGGGTAATCAATCACAAAAAAACAAAAAAAAAAGACAATTCAGTAAGAGTTGCTTAAGTCTGCCAGTAGCATCTTGGGGAAAGGTCTGCCTTGAGAGAAACAGGATTTGTACTGGGACATCTGAGGAGTCAGAACTAAAATAAGAGTGGAAGCCAGAACAGCCGGATTTCAGCTTGACTGCAGGAATGACTATCTACCTGAGGATGGTCAACAGTTGACTGAGGTAGTGACTGCCTGCACAGGAGGGATTCAAACAGCAGCGAAGATGGCTGGGATCATAAGGCTGAATCTTGTGGGAAAGGGTCCCTCTGTTGCCTGCAAGATTCACACAGACTCCAGACTAGAGGACTAGATCAATGGATGCCAGCATTTCAAATCCTAGATCCCTTTATTAACCCACATCCAAGTCCCTGATTGGAAAAGCCCGTGTCTACCAAATAGATCCCACTTATTAGGAGTGGGCCAAGGATTAAGCCCATACTGCTGTATCAAGGGAAAACAGCTTTGGGAAATAATGGAAATAACTTATTGATCATGAATAACTTGAGGGGCCCTGAGTTTGGGAGCACTTAAACAGATAATCTTTCACATCTCACCTAACCCTGAGCTTCTATAGTGAGCTACCTTTAAGCAGATTTTTATATGTAGAAGCCCTATGAAATGCACTGCTGTTTTTTGTCGAAAGGATCCCATGTTCTATTTATTACACAGGATCCTCCCTGGCCTCGGTACCAGAAGGTTGGGCTTTTCCCGGGATAGTACGGTTTTGTCTTATAGACACGGTGAACTGCGTAACTGAAAACGTTCTTCCCTATACCAGGGGTCAACAAACTTTTCCCTAAAGGGCGAGATAATAAATATTTTCAGCTTCTGAGCCATACATTCTGTCACAGCTACTCATCTCTGCCCCTGTAGCACTGAAAGCAGCCAGGGACTACAAGTAAACAAGTGGGTGTGGCTATGTTCTAATAAAACTATTTACAGAAACAGGCAACTGGTCTAGTCAGCTGACCCCGTCTCTATACCGTTAACAGGCTGAGAGCCATGTTTGGGGCTCCCCTTTAGCAAGCGGAACCTCACAGAATGGATTTTTTGTATTCACCTCACTGTTTTATTTCTCCTTTGTGTGGATTCCCTCACCTGTATGTTTTTAATTTAAAACAAAACATTTTATACTGTGCTATAAATTTCTGTTAAGATGCCTGAAATACTTTTCGGGAAAAGATGGAATATAAATAAACAAAAATAGATTTGATTCAGACTGCTTCGTTTTTAAACATTAAGGAATGACCGCTACTCTGAGTGGGATGGGCTGTGATGCCAAGCACAAGTCCCTCGCTTCACCTTCCCCAGATCGGGCTTCCCTGAGGGAAGAACCGGCCCAGCCCTAGGGACCTAAGTTCTGCATCAAATCCACGTACCAGTCCCCTACCCTCAGGACAAGGTTAATACTGTATCTTGTCCATGATTGTAGTCACAAATTGACAGCAGTCTGGTGACTACTTTGGTTAGCAGGCTACTCCCGCCAGCTAGGAAAACACCACCGTTTCAGAGACGTATCTTCATTTGTAAAGCTATGCCTGGGATTAAACGGAGCCCAGGATACGCTGGGGGAGACACTCTCAGGCAATTTCCTTTGTGCTAATAAATGAAATGCTATGAGGGCAATGAGACTTTTCACTTTGAGGCTTATAGGACATGGGAAATACAAACATTTAGAAATGTAACTTCTGGATTTTATGGTGCAGCAGACAAAACCCTGGACTGGAGTCAGGTAACCTGAATTTTAGTTCTGACACTGCCACTGTTCTTTAAACTTTTTTTTAAAAATAGCACTTTCATGGGGCGCCTGGGTGGCTCAGTTGGTTAAGCGGCTGCCTTTGGCTCAGGTCATGATCCTGGAGTCCCTGGATTGAGTCCCGCATCGGGCTCCCTGCTCGGCGGGGAGTCTGCTTCTCCCTCTGACCCTCCCCCCTCTCATGTGCTCTCTCTCATTCTCTCTCTCTCAAATAA